CAGTCATCTTGGCAACAGGGGCAAAAGTCTCATTATAATCAATCCCACACTCTTGAGAAAAGCCCTGGGCAACCAAACGAGTTTTGTACCGTTCCAAAGACCCATCAGAAAGGGTTTTGACCTTATAGACCCATTTACAACCTACAGCATTCTTGTCAGCAAGTAATGGAACCAAATCCCAAGTCTGAGTGTTAGCCAAAACAGTTAACTCGTCATTCATGGCAACAATCCAATTGGGATCATGACAAGCTTCCTTGTAGGACCAGGGCTCAAAATATGTATGAAGACAAGAAAGAAAAGACTGATAAGAAAGGGAAAAACATGTATTACCAAAACCATACCAGTTCGGAGGATGACGGTCTCGCTGTGGAAAATGGTGTGCAGGAGGAGTGGGATCCAAAGAAGCAGCTGAAGGGACAATAGAGCTAGAGACAGGCGAACTCGGAAGTGCTTTGCGGCGCTGATAAACAAGAAGAGGAGTAGAGGAAGTAGGAGCTGAAGAGAAAGTAGCTGGCAAGATATCATAAGTGCTAGTAAGAGGCAAAGTAGAGACCTCAAGATCATAAACAAACTCATCAGGAGAAACATCAGGAGGAAATGGGTAACGTAAACCAATTCATCATTGATAATAGGGACAAGGGTGGAAGGTATAGTGTAGTAGGGTAGCTTTTCTAAAAAGGTGACATGCTTAGACACATATAGCTTTTTGGTGGTAGGATCATAACACCGATAACCTTTATGATTAATGCCATACCCTAAGAAGACACATAGGATATAACAGGAACTAAGCTTAGAGCGCGTCCGTTTAGGAAGGAGCACAAAGCATGCAAAACCGAAAATACGAAGAAGAGAATAATTGGGAGTAACACCAAAAAGATGCTCATAAGGAGATGAACTTGAGGGAAGAGAAGTAGGCATTCGATTGAGAAGATATGCAGCAGTGAGCACAACTTCTCTCCAAAAAACAGAAGGGACAAAAAATGAGAGCAACAACGAGTGAGCTGTATCAAGGAGATGGCGATGTTTGTGCTTAGCTTAACCATTTTGTGTAGGAGTGTCAGAAGACGAAGAGTGATGAATAGTGCCATGAGTAGCTAAACAGTCCTCAAACTCAAATAAGTAATACTCACCCCCCAAATCAGAACGAAGAACTTTAATGGTTGTAGAAAACTGAATGCGAATCATGGAGTGAAAATTAGAATATATTTTGTAAAAATCAGATTTTCTAGTCATCAAATAAACCCAGGTAAATCGTTTGTAATCATCCACAAAAGACACATAATATTGTGAACCACCCTTGGTAACTATAAGGGAAGGATCCCAAACATCAATATGAACCAATTGAAAAGGAGAAGATGAAATAGAACTACTTTTATTAAAAGGAAGAGCAGACATTTTAGCCAATTTACGACCACGACACTCAGAAATATCACTAATAGGAAAATTTCCTAAATGTCCAGACCGAACTAACATCCTCAAACGATCACTCGACATATGACCTATCCTAGAATGCCAAATATAAAATAAAGAGTACTTATTGTTTAAACAAAAAGAAGACAATGCAGTAGAAGACACTTTTGGAGGAACATACAAACTATCCAAGATATATAGTTCTCTAACTCTACGCCCGATCCCAATTTGCCTCTTGGATACCCGATCCTACACAACACAATGAGAAGAAGAGAGAACAACATCAAAACCGGAATCAGATAATTGACTAATAGAAATAAGATTGAGTGAGAGGTGAGGCACATAAAATACAGGAGAAAGAGACAAATGGGAAGAGGAAATAGAACCAATAGAGTGTACAGGCATAGAAGAACCATTAGCGATAGCAATAGTGATAAAAGAAGAATGTGAGACACAATTACTGAGGAGAGATGCAACATGGGTCATATGATGTAAACAACCAGAATAAAAAATCTACGAAGTGTGGACATAATCTGAAGAGGATGAACCAGACAAACCTAACTGAGTGATAGTCATAGCGGAGGCCTGAGACGAAAGATCTAGATTGGCCACCATGAAAGACTTGAACTGCTCAAACATAGACTGCATATTGGAAGATGGACCATTCTCAGTAACTGGTGCAGAAAAGTCGGCAGATGAGCGAGATCCTAAAAATGTTGGCTTAGCGAATGGTGGACTAGATGAACAACCCTTGGGCTACAAAAATTTTGGACAAGCATGTTTCCAATGGCCTTTCTGATGACAGAAGCTACACTCATCCATGGAAACTTGAGGCTTGGGCTTGCCAGTAACCTGAAATAAAGGAGAAGGTGGGGTGGGCAAGAGCGGATGAGTGGCAAAAACTGACTGGGAAGCAGGAGCACCATGAGCCACCTTAAATCAAGTTTCTTCCGCAACAAGCTCATGAACAACACCATCCACAGAAGGTATAGCGATCTCGGGTTCACCCTTGTTGTATAGTGATCCAGACTTGTGTCTGTAGATGTTGGTAGTTGTTTATTATCTTGTATCATTTTCAGGTACAGGAAGCATGCCACCTCCAAGGACATAGCTGGGAGGCTAGAGGCGGACATGTTTTGTTGTTTTACTTTTGATGTATTACATGTAACTTCAAGCCAAGGGCTTAATGTGTATCGACTTAGTACTCTTTGTTGTAACCAAGTGTGAACTTGGAAAGCTGCAAGCCCGTAGGGCATTTTGTTATGATGTTAACATGTAATACTTATCTAATGAGACGCTAATGAATAATAGAAGGTGGTTTGTTTATACGTCAACGCATGTCTTATTTGATGGGTTTAATGTTATTATTTTGAGGGCGTTACAGAAGGCAAAGGAGACCGATGAAGAATAGCTCCCCTAAGTGGCTCAAATTGATCACGAAGGGCCATAAGAAATTGAACCAGATGTTGTTTCTCCCGATACTTGGTGTAACTGTCAAGTAACTGCAAATCTGATGGTTCTATCAAAGCAAGCTGATCCCAATAAGTAGTCTTCTCATTGTAGAACTCTTGAATGGACTTATCTTTCTGACTAGTACTGCGAATAGACATCTCAAGTTTATACTGTTTTGCAAAGTTAGACTTAAAGTACATGGTTTTCAAATAGTCCCAAACTTGTTTAGAAGTAGAATACTTGGAAAAATTCATACCAATGGTAGTTTGAACTAAATTATGAAACCAAGTAAGAATTTGTGCATTTTTCTTATCCCATTTAGCAACATCGGCCTCAGTTTGTTGGGATTCCATAGGTCTAATAGTCACACCAATAACATAGTTCCACATGCTTTTACCCATTATAAAATTTTTTATTACACGAGACCAATAGGAATAATTAGTACCATCTAACGTAGTGATGATAGCTTGTAATTTATCATCAGCCATAATACTATAATTAAGCAACACAATAAAATCAAAGCAGAGAGACAATTTCACAACCAAAGTTGTTGTTGCTATAATTAAAGAGCCCGTAAGGTCAAACTTATAATAACCAGACCCAAGGTCAAATGTATAATAACCAAACCCAATCACCCTCAAATAGCAATCAGAGAGAGAGAGAACCAAGGCAAAGCATATAGTGAGAGAGACAGAATTGAACCTAAACCCAGAAGGCGAAGTCGATGTCAGATACCAGGTCTGGAGTGAGAGACAGAGAACTGAACCAATCAGAGTCACCCAGAGAATCGATCAAACTAGAGGTAGAGAGCTTCGATCAAACCAGAAGTAGAGAGCTTCAATTGAACCAGATGAACTAGTTGCGAGGTCGAGCTTCGAAGTGCGACGAAGAGAACAGGGGCAGCGATGATCAATGATGATCTGCGAAACGAAGAGAACAGGGGTTGCGATGATCAATGATGATCTACGAAAGGTATGCTAACCTCTGTAACTTGGCTCTGATACCATGATAATTGATAAGAAAACCTTGTCTCACAATTAATCAATTTGAGAACAAAACCCTAAGCTAATAGAATGAAACACTAACAACCTAAAGGACTAAACTATCCATAATGAAAAATATAAACTACAATTCACACTATCGACTTATGAGAATGAGGTAGCGAGGGTTGGGTATGAGAAACTGCTAACAGCTTAGCTACAGCTTAACTCATTAATTGGATAGAGATATGATATAAGATCCAAAATATAAAGAGATTGAAATGTTTCCAGGTAGGTGGGGGAATATGTCATGGAAAAGATTCATTAAATCAAGTAAGTAGATGTTCATTTGGTTCAAGTAAATTTATTAACTGAAAACACAGCATGGAACCTTATGCCAACCATTGGCTCAAGAAGTGCTAATTACACCATTTGAAAAACCAACTACCACTAGCACTCTTCAAGCAAAAAATGCAACAACACCAACTATTTAGGAAAGTGAAATTTCTATCCAACATAAGAATAAGATACCATAAAGTAATGCACTAAATAGTCAGCAGAGCCAACCCATTACCTTAATTTTTTTAATAAGCTGCAACAAAAGCAAGATATTAGCATCCAAACAAGGTACTAAGAAACGTTTTAACTTTTAACATTTGCATTTAATCCTAAGAAAATAGCATGTATTTAATAACAAGAAGTTACTCAGCAAACCTAAAGACAAGCTTCAAACGTATTAAGCATAACTGTTTACATGAAGTATGCACGTTATTCAACTAGACTCTCGTCAGGTCCATCATCTTCCTCTGGCAAAGCTAGTTCCCCCTCACTATTAACTGCATCAGAAGAATTTGTCGAGTGGCCATCTACGACTTGAGTTCCTTCCTCAAGTAAAACTAGGCTCTCCGTGTAATTATCCACCCAAAATGCATCTTTGCTGCCACGAACTCCAAGGTTTGTGATCTCTTGGCTCTCAAAGTCATACGAGACCAGCTCTCTACCCATTCCCAACAGCATTTCACCGTTCTTTCTCAAGCCAAACATCAACACCAATCTTCCATCAAGATCAATCGTATATCGCTTACCCCAAGATCCCACCACCTTATAGTCTTTCATAACCCACACGGTACAACTCTTACTGTATATCGGTGAATCATACTATAGCACTGAAAGCGATTCACCCACTATAGTAGTCAACATGTTCCTAGGAAACTCATGAACCAGACTCAGTGGCAACTCAATCTCACCAAAGACTTCATTACCCGAATCAAAAAACAGAAGAAAACAACCACGAGTAACCGGGTTAATGAGCTTGTAAGAAACCCAATGAACCTTCCCATTCAAATAAGCTTGTGACCAAAAGTAATTAACCATGCCAAAACGTGGCACAACACCATCAAAATCCCTCCAAGAACGATCGCCGACGGCATAAATTTCGACTTGAGGAGGAACCTTAAACCCATTTTCTGATCCCAAATATGAAATCCTCACAACCTTGAAGTCATTTTTAATCAAATCAAGGCCAAACCCATGAATACACATAAAAGGGGAAGTTGATTCAGAGGTAACACGGGGCACATGAAGGGTGAGAGAGCGGTGAATCGAAGGGTTCCAGAGAATGATGGTATTGGTGTAACCGAAGTAATCGTCGATGAGACAGAGCAACCCATTACAGGACCCAACAATTCTGAAGTAGTATTTGAAGCGAGCCAAAGATGGGCATTTGAGGTCTAGGAATATGGGGAAAGTTTGGTTGTTGAAGTGGAGTGAGAAGCGCTCTTTGCGGTGAGAGTATTGGCGAAGAAGAATCAAGTTGAAGGTGGTGGTGGAGTGATTAAGGTGGGAAGTGATGAAAGAGGGGGTGGAGATAAGAGAGCACCATGATTTGCATACGCACCTGAATTGGAGGAGAGAGATCACTGGGAGTTTTGAGAGGATTTCAATCAGTACCTTGTTAGGTAGGTAGTCCGACATCTCAGAGAGAGAGAGAGTTTGATTTTAGGGTTTTACACTTGTTCTACAAAGAGGCATGGAAAATTAAAACCATAGGTTTTGTAGAGGAGACGAGAGAGTGTGTGGCGGCAAAGAAAATATTTTTTTAAACGACGATGTCTCCTGAGAGGGGAAAGGGCATGACTTCAACAGCGGCTCACCACGTGGCATATGGTTATAGGAGGATTGCTTTTTAGTTTTTGTTTTGTTTTTGAAAATTATAAATCAATCTTACTTTTGAAAAAAAAAAATTACAAATTTATCAAAAAAATCTATGAGTTTCATTATTGTAAAATTTACTATGAATTTATAATTATTTTTAAAATTTACACAGATATGTTATTTTTTCTTTTTTTCATCATTTTATATATGAAGGTATTTTTTATTTTTAATAAGGAAAATTACAATGAAAAAAAAAAACAAGGTTTGACAATAAATCCTAAGTTTTAATTTTATAATTTTAAATCATAAATTATTGATTTATTTTCAATCTTAACCAAGTAAAATTAGCGAATAAATAATATTTTAATTATTAAACTCAACTAAAAATTATATTTTAGACATTTCATTTACATTTATTTTGAGTTTAATGATTAAATAATATTTCCTGTCAATTTTAAATAAACAAATAATTTAAATTAAAAACAAATCAAAATTTTATAATTTAGTAAATTAAAATTAAAAATTTATGATTTATTTTGTTATAATGATCAAACCCTAATTTTTTTTCCCCCATAATTTCCCTTTTTTTTAATATTTACATATTAAGTGATATAAAATGATGACAAAAAAAAACAATAATATCTACTTATTGTCTCACATTATTAGTTCTTTTTTTTTTTTCAAATTAAAAAGTTCCAAAATGTTGAGCCTTTCCAAAATAAAATAAAAAAAATCAATACAATGTATCTCAATTACAATGAAGACATATACAATATAAATCACAATTACATAAATGGACTCATTTTACTAAGAGAACAAACTCATACACACACAAAAAAGAATCGCACTCTTAACCTTCCAATAAAGTGTAAAATTTTACAACTGAAACATAATTTTTTTCAATTTTTCGGGAAAAAATGTTGAGCCTTTCCAAAATAAAATAAAAAAAATCAATACAATGTATCTCAATTACAATGAAGACATATACAATATAAATCACAATTACATAAATGGACTCATTTTAGTAAGAGAACAAACTCATACACACACAAAAAGAATCGCACTCTTAACCTTCCAATAAAGTGTAAAATTTTACAACTGAAACATAATTTTTTTCAATTTTTCGGGAAAAAGTGCAAATTGCATTCCCCCCCTTCTCAAAAAAGTAAAAATAAAATACTCGATATTATCAAAAGTTACATACATATTTTATGCTCACTAAATCACAAAATTTGGAGTGCGATTATCAAAAAATAAATAAAAAATTGCAAAATGGTAATCCCCTTTTTCAAAATGATACTTTATAATTGACTAGAAATTTATTTAAAAGTGAGTATAAAAAAACAATTTCATAAAGATGAACACCTATAAGGAATCAAATATTGACAGTTTGCAACCAAATAAAAATTGCAATAATAGTGCAAAATAACTGAATGTTGAAAAGCACAAAGTTCACAGTAGTAGCAAACACGCAAGGTTCATAGGCATTGTTTGGGCGTCCTAACATCTAATTTTACAATTTGATACCATGTGAAGAAACTCACACATATCCTGTGAATAATTACAATTTGATATATGTTTGTGCGTCTTTTTTTTTTCCCCTTTTTTTTCCTATTCAAAAACAAAACACTCTGCCAGACCTAAATAAATACAAAACAGTTTTGGGAGTTCTCCTTGAAGAAGTTAAATTGTAAGAGCCTTTGGTTGTCTTGTCTCTAAATTGAAATTCTACTGTTATATTATATTTTCTATGAGATCTAATTCACATCAATTATCTTTCTATAGCAACCGACTGGGCCTGATTGTTTTTCTAACAACTATTTATTTGTTTCAAAGTTTCGATATAAACAATTGAGCCTTCTAACTTTTTTTAAGGAAATGCCGACCCAATGGCATGCAAATTCTAACTACAACAAACACATCAGACCAAACCAAAATTTCCATTATTGGACACCCAAGGAACCAATAAGCAATTAGAATTGATGAGCTAGTTCCCTGAAGTTTACTTTCAGAAACTACATGCTTTTTCTAAAAAGGATTTAATGGTAACAATATCAATCTCCCATAAGGTATCATACACCTTCAGTGGTTCGGTATGCTAAAATAGTGTGCACTAGACAAATTTTATATCTCCTCAAATATTCTAATGGACCTTTCGTCATTTACAAAGAATATATGGCTCCTAATAAGTTTGAAACAGACAAGTATTTTGACACAAGTTAAGGAATTCTCTGAAAACAAAGAGTTTACTGAAGTCATATATGAAAGCATCAGAATTTATCTTTGAGATCATTGATGGGCTTATCAAGCAACTTTCCTCCATATAAAATTCATTCAAAAGTACATGAGGAGATGTACCTTTTGACAAGTAAACTCATTCATAAACATATACATGAAAAGTAGTGAGAAATGATATGTAAGACAGCAAAAGGACAATATAACGCCTAAAATATACCTAGAAGACAACATGGCAAGAGAAAATATCAAGCATGTTCATCAAACCTTCATTGGAAAAGGGCTCTTTTTTTAATATGTAACTAGTAAGCAAAAAGGACATTAGCCATCTATTTGTCAAAACACTCCACAGTGTATCAAAACCTAAGATACTATTCACTGGTGTCAAAGACAGACTATGATTACTAATCTATTCAGAGAAGAGATAGTCAGATTATGCAGCTTACTACTACCGATACTTACATGTCTATGGCCCAAAAACTAGATTGATCCTAATTCCGAAGTAGGAACTCCAACAGGCTACCAGTTATATAAGCAGCTGCAAAAAGAAAATTCCTCTTCAAGGCTATTTCGAGTGTGCTCTCATCCACTTCTTCCTCATTTGTAACTTTCGGCAAAACAGGATCAGTGTTCACTGGCCCTTGCAAGTTCCCATTTGATCCATCCAACAAAACAAGGCTTTCCACATAGGGACTGGCATAAAATGAGCCTTTGACACCACGCAATCCATGTTTCTCAATGCGATTGCTCTCAGGCTGATACGAAACCATATCTCCACCTCTAGTCCCCATAAGCAATTCGCCACTCTCCCTAAAACCAAACACCAACGTTAAACCCGCCTGACAGTCAACATTATATTGCTTCGTCCAGGACTCCACAACACCATAGTCTTTCATCACCCATATGGAAACACATTTACGGTTTGCACTGTAATCAATAAAACTCACCGCGATCATAGTCCCAACTAAATGAACTCCCAAATGCAACGGGAAACTAGGAGCCACTGTTTCTGGGAGCTCAATCTCATGGAACAATTCATCACCAAAACCAAATGATAAAATCACATTATGGAATTTACCATCCCCAACTCGCTTGTATGCAATCCAATGTGCAAAACCATTCAGAAAAACATGTTCCCAGAAATACTCAACCATATTATATGAAGGAACACCACAAGTCAGGGCTTTCCAAGAACCGGTTTTAAGCGAGTAAGCCTCAACTTTAGGAAGAGGAATTGCATTTTTTCGCCTCTCAAAGTGAGAAATTCTAACTACCTTATAGTCCTTGGTTAGCAAATCGAAGCCAAACCCTAGAACAGACATGTAAGGACTATAGGAATCGAGAGAAAGACTGGGTTTTGGAAGGGCCACATACCTTCGAATCATAGGGTTCCAAAGGATTATATTTTGTTTGTCACCAAACCGATCGTCGGAGAGACAAACCAAGCCATTACAAGTACCAACTACCCTGAAATAGAAGTGGGTTTTGAATGGAGAAGTGAATTGGGCGTAGTGGTTGAAGGTTTTGTTGTCGAAACGCAATGAGTAGTGTTCTTGATTGGGATTGAGACAAGTGTATCTGAGTAGGAGCAAGTGAGTGTGAGTGTTGTTGGTGGACTTGTTGAGGTGGGTGTTGATAAAACTAGGGCTGCTGATGAGAGATCGCCATTGTTTCGACACACAAGTGAATCGAAGCAGGGATTTTACAGGTAATCTGGAGAGAATTTCGATCAATACCTCTTCGGGAAAGTAGTCCGACATTGTTGAGGCTATCAGAATGAGAGTGTCTTAGTTTTGACTTCGCCTTTTATTACCCTGATCATTATTTTATTTATTATTGTTATTATTATTATTATTATTATTTTCATAGAGTTGGTTATAATTCTTTTATCATCAGATTATTTAGTACAGTTTTTTATTAGAGAAAGTTGTTGAAAAATTCAATTTATAGGAATATTTATCAATAAATCTTATCTCATAAACAACTATACCAATTAGTCCCACTTTTGAAATGCTTATCTGATAAGTCCCACTGGTGGAGAGGTTTAGATCTATCTGATCCTATTTTCCAACTTTGGTAGTGAGACTTGGACAGTTATGCCCTTTCCTATTTCATCGGGTTATTTTTGATGGGATCACCTTCATTTTTGGTAACTTCATTGATTCGGTGATACACATTTCCACAATTTGACTGTTAGGGTTTTGAGTTTTTTGGGGAAGAGGTTTGGTGCGCCGTCTGTGTGACGTCGCAGCAGGGATAGCATTTACCAATCGTCAAACTCACCATCATGCAGGTATGTATTTTTTTCCCTTCATAATAATGCAGAGTTGTTTTGTTTTGTTGGTAGTCTCAGTTTTTGTGATGGGTTTCTTTGTATCCACATGCAGGTATGTATTTTTTTCCCTTCATAATAATGCAGAGTTGTTTTGTTTTGTTGGTAGTCTCAGTTTTTGTGATGGGGTTCTTGTATCCATGTCATGGTGTCGTCGTTTTTGTTTCCCAAGTGGTTGGGGGTGTCTCAAATGTGTTATGACTTGACGACAGTAACTGTTGTAGTGTATGATCTGGGTAGGGGTGGGGGACTCAATGGGTGGGTTGCGTGTATGTTATTGTTAAGGGATTTGTGGCACTGGTTAAGTTCGGGGTTGTGGTAGTTGAGTGGAGTTGTGTGACATCGTCTGGTATGGGTTATGTTATTAATGTTATGTTAAATGTATACAGGTAATGGACATGCATGTCATGCTGGTTTGTTGTTACGGTAATACAAATGCCGCCGTCAATTTGCAAGCCCCGTTTCGTTACCATGATCTGGTGAACCATGTGTGTGGCAATTTTTTGGGGTTGACAACAGATAATGTGTGTTTGTTTTTCAAAATCCCAGGATACAATAACTTCACGTTGAAGAACGATGTTGATATGGAAAACATAGTCTCACTTGCGCGGTCTTTTCGCCTACAATGTGTTGACGTCATCATTCATTTGGGAGACGTCGAAGATACAGATAACATTGACAGCCTGCCTCACAATGCACGGACTGTCCCATGTCAAATGTATGGTCCGTTTGATGAGACAGGCATGGATGATGAACAAGATTTATTAGCCAAATTTTGTCCTCGTGTAGATAAGGTTTTTTTGCCTGGTTCGTGGGCTAATGGGATTCAACATGTTAGGCAGAGTTTTGAGGGGGGAGCTGTTGAGTTCCGAACGGTTCTCTGCAAGTATGCCGTTGAGTGTGGATTTCGGTTCAAATATGTAAAGAATGATTCCGTTTGGATTACAGCAGTATGCATGATGAGGGAAACTAAAGGATGTATGTGGTCTATATACGCACGTGTCTTACATGGCAATGGATTGTTTTACATTCGTAAATGGAATAGTGAGCACATTTGTGGTGTCGCTGTTCGAACACCCACTAATCCGCGTGCTGGGTCTGACATAGTGTGTGATGTTATATCCGAGAGGGTACGTGATAAACCACTCACATGGCCTACCGATGTTGTTTACAACTTGAAGAAAGAATACGATTTAGAAGTTAGTTACCGGGTTGCCTAGTTAGGTGTTGAGAAAGCTCGTAGGGAAATGTTCAGTGCACATTCAATTTCGTTTGATCAATTACGGTGGTATAGTAACGTAGTTATGGAGAACAACCTGGGAAGTTACATCAACATTGACTACGACGATCAAAACAATCGTTTCATAAGGTATTTCATATCATTCAAAGCATGAATTGATGGATTCAACCATTGTAGACCGTTACTTTTCTTGGACGACACATTTCTAAAAGGGAAATTCAAAGGGAACTTGTTAGCCGCTATAGACACCCCATTTTTGACCGTCCTCAAGACTTGGACATCACCGTTTGAACACTCGGTGATCATCCTTGTTTGTGTTCGCCTTGAGTTCCCGGAGGCCTCGGCTACGCGTCTTGCCTTAGGATCTCTCAACTTGACTGTTTTGTGTCTGGTTTTGCACCAAACACTTGTGTTTTTGCTTTGGAAGGAAGGGAATGGGTTGTTGGCCATCCCCACACCTCACCGGCCATGGCTTGGAGCTACCGGCCATCGGTTTGTTGCCATCAGCCAAATGTTTGGCAGACCAGCACTCTTTGTGGTCGACCGGCCATCTTTTTTGGTCAAATGCCATTTTTGGCTGGCTGACCACTGTACATCTGCTTTTGGCAGATATTTTGTGCCAGCTGTGATAGCTGGCACCCACTTTGCTCCCCTCTATACACGTGTATGGAGGGATCTCCCTCTTGACTAGCTTACTTGAAAAGCTTTGCAAGAGTGAGCTCTATAAGAGGGAGCCTCTTCTCCCTCCATTAGGGTGACAAAAAAATACAGAGGGAGCTCTGAGTTAGGGTTAGTTCATAGTTGTAGCTATTCTATCTCTATATCTTTCTCTTTAGTGCATAAGTGTGTGTTTTAGTCTTACTATTGCACACAAACACATAGAGTTACACCTTCTCTTGGATTCTGAGGGGCCAGAGAGCTGTTCTTGGTGTTCTTGAGTGGATTCAAGCTTAAAGAACCAGCTGGAGCATTGTTTGTGAAAGGGTCTACAAGGATAAAAACTTCACCTTTAGATACCCCATTTTTGCATAGCTTTTTAACCTATCTTGCAACTGTTTTCAGGCTTTGTATATAACTAATAAAAGTCTTGTTTTTGAGTGCTCTAAATAGTTGTTTAAGGTCACTTTGTTGTTTGAGGTCGTTTGACCCCTCTTAGGGCTTGTTTGGCCCCATTTTTGTGCTATTTTGGTGAGCTCTGGGACCACCTTGTTTGGGCCACCTCACCACTGAAATCTTGAGGGATTTTAGTGGTGAGGATGGTGGTTTAAGGTCCTAAGAAGGAGAGGGCCATTCCCTCTCCTTGTCGTCTTTAATATATGCCATTTAAGCCTCATGTGTGAGCACCATTTTTGAACTCATGTTGGCCATGTTTCAGTAGGTATGTGGTAGTATTTTGCCATGTTTTACCTCTGTTTTTACTTGGTTTAAACACACCATGCTTTCCTTGCATACATGTCTTGTAATGCCATGATTTGCCTTAACATGTGACTAGCATTTAGCCTATTATGCTTACTTGTTTTGGCCTAGCTTTGTGAAACTTTTGTGCTTGTTTTAGCATACTTAAGTTCTATTTTTGGTTGTTTTGGTCGACCATGACATGCTTAGGATAGCCACCTTGCATTTTGGCTTGTTAGCCTTGAGTGTGTGAGTGTGGAGCATGCTTTACTTGCTTTGTTTCAGTGGTTTGGAACCATTTGCCATGCCATTTCAGTCCTCATGGTATGCTTGTATGCTTGCATTTGATGCCCCTTTAATGTGTTAAGAGGTTGGTGTTTCATGCCCCATGTTTGTGCTATTGTGTATGCCTCTAGGATTAGGTCATTTAGATGCCATCTAAGTGGTTCTTGGGGCTTACTTTTGCATGATTTAGGACTGTTTTGATTCATTTTGGTTGTTTGCTTCATATGTCATATGGCCATAGTTTAAGTCCTTGGGTTTGGTTGCATGTCTTGCTTGCATTGACAATTTGATTTGGCGTCATTTTATAACATGATTTCAGAGCTTATAATGTATGCCATATGTCCATGTTATCCTCTTTTAAGTGTGCTTAAAAGTTGTCTCCATATGCTTAAGTGTTTAGGCCATAACATGTGTATGTTTGTGTGTGTTTTGCCTCTCATTCCTTAGCATGTTGGCCACTGTTTTGGGCCTAGTATAGAGTTGCCTAAATTAGTCTAAGTCCACTCTTTACATGTTGTTACATGTCTTACACTCCGCATGCTTTGATTGCATCATATCTTGCATGTCCGTTAGCCCTGCATGTTGTGGCATACTTAGCCTATCACATGCTTGTTTGCATGCTTGAACAAGAGTTGAGGGATTTTCGACCTTGGATATGTATGAATTGAAGGTTGGGATGTGTTTAAAACAGCCACAGTGTGGGCTCGCCTTTTTCCGCACCCTGCTGTAGACATCTCATTTTTGACCGTCCTCAAGACTTGGACGTCACCGTTTGAACACTCGGTGATCATCCATGTTTGTGAAGTTCCGCAGGTGGGTTTTGAACAATAAGCAACTCCGCCGGTTGATATTCGCCTAATTTCGCCATTGCATCCGCACAAATGTTGGCGTCCCTGCGAATATGCTGGATGGTGCAGTCACAACCGCGCATGATAATACGAGCATCTTCCACAATGCCCCGAAAAGGGCATCTCTCTCCTATGTCTTCACTTAACAGCTGAACCACTTGCTCCGCATCCATTTTGATAATCACTTGATTGAATCCTCTCTGAAGAATGATGGTGAGCCCTTTGTATACCGCCCAAAGTTCTGCTTCAAGGCTAGTGCATATCTCCAACTTGCCGTAAAACCCACTGATCCATGACCCTCTTTCATCATGAAATACTCCACCAAATCTGCCACCACCGCCAGACTTGCAAGTGCTACCGTCTGTGTTCAACTTAATTTTTCCTGCATTTGGGCAAGACCACCTAGTTAGACTCTTAATTTTAATATGAGCTGTGACATCAAGTTTAAAAGCATGAAAAATCTCTTTTCTATAATCTAAAATGGATTTCACACTCTTATAAATGTTCACAACTTTATGTTCAAAAACCCTTTTGTTACGATTTTTCCAAATAGTCCACAACGAAATGAGAAATAAGTTAGGATTTTTGTGCTTCCCTTTCATATTTTGAGTGATCCACTCTTGCCAAGGTAGAGATAGCATGTTAGAATACCATTCCCTGCCAAAGACTTGATACC